ATGCAGTTAAAGTATTTAAAAATATAAAGACAAATAAAACTAAATTAACATAAAAAAATCAACATTAGTAAAAAGAAACAATTTTGCAGTGAGACTTAAGTTTTACATTCTTAAGTCATACTTCATATTTTCAAATAAAAACTGTTACTATTTAATAATAGCATAATTAAAGCAATCTATAGATATTACATACCATTTTGTGTTAATTTCGTAGAACACACAAGAGTTGAAATGCTAAAAGAATCCTTCAAATTCAAAATTAACCCTGATGGATATGATAATACAGATAATCTTGAAGGATTATTATTAGTGTTTCCATGTAACTGTTGAAACAATTCTAATTCCATTTTTGTTGTAGGTAATGATAAATAATGTGCATCATTTTCATCAAATTTTTTATGGTCTATCTGTATAAACAAATACTTTTAATAATCATATATAACTTAAAAAGAAATATAAATAATTTATGTAATATATAAATTAAAATAATTCATTTTTTTAGTGCTTGAAAACTATCTATTCTGTTTAACAAAATCAATTTATTTAAGAAGTTTTATCCTTAATATTACTATATTTAATAGTACATAATACATAACTCATTTTCATCTAGACTATAAACATACTATTCTACAAATGACATAAAAAACAATTTTAGAACATATGACAAATAAAGATTTAATTGGAAATGTGCTATTTAAAATAGCTCAAAATATTACTAAAAATAAATAAAAATTTATTAGATGACCATCTGATAAATTTTTGATATAAATAAGAAATCCAAATTATGAGTACTAGCACAATGCGCTACTTCGTCGTATTGTGATAGAATTGAAGTGGAGCAAAATAAAAACAAAATATCAAATACTTACTTTATATACAAGAAGTTCATGTATTTCATCTTTTAAAGTAGTTCCATTTTCTTGCATCAATTTAGCAAATGATATGGCAAAAGGTTTTTCAGTTTTATCTTTTGCTACATTTTATAAAAATAAATTTATACATTATTTCTTTTCAAAATTAATTTCTTATTAACAATTTTAAACTTTAATTAATAATATATTTTTTACTTTTAAATTTAACAAAATAAGATAATAAGCATCTCAAATTTTTTATTCTAAGGAAATTATTTACTTCATTTCATTAAAGCTAAAAATTAACAGAAAACACAAAAGTAAATATATAATTATGAAAATAAACAGATTATAACACAAATTAAATTTTATAAAAATCTGTGCATTATTATTGCATTAAAATTTTACCTTCATTAGAAGAACGATGTTTAAATGTAAATCTTAAATGAGCATTATAAAATTCATCAATAGGAATTGCAACCTAAAATTAAAAAGTTTTGCTTAATGTAGGTTTTAGTAATACCTGTAATAGTAATATTTCTAGTTTTGTGACTTGATAGTACTATAGATTTGTCATTTAAATATTTAAAAGCAAGTTTTGGTGTTATAAGAAATTTGATAAATAAAGCATAAAAATAATAAAATTAAATTGTAATTGTCAATATTAATTTTGTTTCTCAAATAATTAAACTTTTAGCAATCAATAATCAAACTTATTTTTTGTTTTGAATATTAAAAAAATTAAAAGATATTTTTAAAACTATAAATTCTCACTTTAAAAGTTTCCATCCATTTTGGTTTATCCTCATGGTAATAAATAACACTTCGATATTCATTCATTGAATCTGATCCAGCTCCAATGCTTAAAACAAGCTTTANGGCACAAATTTTCAAGTTTTGTCTCTTGAAAGTTAGAAACAGCTTTAACAGAATTCCCTCTTCATACAATACCTTAAAATGAATCTGAAATCTAGTTAGATTTAGTTGTTACAAATTACAAACAATGTATGAGAACTATTTTAATATCTTCAGCTACAGATGACACATTAGTAAAAGTGTCATTTTTCCAAAGTATCACATTGTAGTATTTTTTAGATTATTTTACGACAATTCTTATAATACAAATTTATATTACAAAATTGCCAGTGATGTAGTCATGCCATGGCATACCAAGGTCCTGATACTTTGTGAACATCTAGGTTGGACTTTAGACTATGTACAGTACCTCGGCCAAAAAAACTAAGAAAATTGCGTCTTGCACAGTTTTTTGCACTGAGTTCAGTACAAATAAATAGGTCAATTTTGACACATTTAAGCAGTTTTGCAGATATTGTACCACAAAGTTGCACTTTGCCCATACAAAACTCCAGAGACAGTGTTTAACAAAACTTGGGGAGCCAATTTACTCAACTGCCATTGACTAACAGTGTGTCATAAATGTCTATAGCCTGTACATTCTACAAAGCAAGTAAAATATAAGTATGGTATGCAGGAGATGCAGGTTTGAATCCTGCTCTGGGCAGATTTTTTTCTTTCAGAATATTCTAAATTATTTAATAAATATTAATTTAATTTAATAAGAAATGGTGCCTAATGCCTCTAGTGACAAATTATTTAGTAATTAATTAAATACAATTGCAGAAAATGGCAATTCAAAATTTCATTTTTCAAAATATTTAGAAAATTCAAATTTTTTTAACATTTAAAAATTAATAGTAAATTATAAAATCTTAATAATAGATTTTTTTTAATCCAAAATGTAATAATTATCTTAATAAAGATAAATTCTTAGAATTCTTTATTAAGATAATTATCCTATAGTATTTAATAGTTAATCCTATAACAACAGTAAATGGAAATGTAAATTCAAAGCTCCAATAAAATAAAAAGTGACTGTTACAAAAACGTCAATTCCATGCTTATACTAAAGGATATAAAAATAAATGTTGTAGTCAAACAGTGATAATACAGAATAACTAAAAAATGAACACGATGTTATGATTTTTAAGATGCACAGTACAAATATATTGTAAAGGCTAAAAACAGTATATATATACATAATAAAAAAGAAAAAACAGCCAAAAAGTATAGATTAATATAAAGGAAAGAAAAGCTTACATATGTTATTACTGAAATAACAGTTTAAATTATGAAAATTTGCATATTAATTAATTAAGGAATTTGTTTAATCATTAAAACTTAATTACAATGTAACTTACATAATATTTTAGTTCATGTAAAAAATAAAATTTCAAGTTGATATTTTATAAATAAAAATTGAAACTATCATTATTAATGTAAACTGTATTTTTAAAATAAAATTATGATTTATCTGAAACTTTTCAGAGATCAGGACAATCAGAAACAGAAATTAGTAACAAATGATGAAATAAAAAATGTGTTTAAATAAATTAACCAAAGTTAGTATTTTATATTAAGTTTTGTAATATGATCAATATTATTATTATTTACTATTATACAGTATTATTAATATGTAATAAGGGTACAAGTCCAGTTAAGCTTAAATCAAACTATCATTTCTAGAAAATTGGTTATTATGCCTCCCTTGGTTAGCATTACAAAATATAATCTGTGCAGTTATTTAATAGTTTTTAATTACTTGGGTGTCTGAAAAAACAGTTTGGCTGATACCTAATTTCAAGAATTATGTATTTA